CAAAAAAATATGGAACGCTTCACGAATTTGCATGTCATCCTTGTGCAGGGGCCATGCTAATCTTCTCTGTATCGTTCCAATTTTAGTATATGTGCTGCTGAAGCGAGCACCTAATTTTTTATTTTTTATTTTTTTTATTTTTTTTATTTTTTCTTTAGACAGAGTTTCGCTCTTGTTACCCAGGCTGGAGTGCAATGGCACGATCTCGGCTCACCGCAACCTCCGCCTCCCGGGTTCAGGCAATTCTCCTGCCTCAGCCTCCTGAGTAGCTGGGATTACAGGCACGCGCCCCCATGCCCAGCTAATTTTTTGTAGTTTTAGTAGAGACGGGGTTTCACCATGTTGACCAGGATGGTCTCGATCTCTTGACCTCGTGATCCACCCGCCTCGGCCTCCCACAGTGCTGGGATTACAGGCTTGAGCCACCGCGCCCGGCCTAATTTTTTATTTTTAATAGAGATGGAGTTTCTCCATGTTGGTCAGGCCGGTCTTGAACTCTCGACCTCAGGTGATTCCCCCACCTCGGCCTCCCAAAGTGCTGGGATTACAGGCATGAGCCACCAAGCCTGGCCTAGCTGGTCTTTTTGTTGTTGAGACGGAGTTTTGCTCTTGTTGCCCCGGCTGGAGTGCAATGGCGAGATCTCTCCTCATTGCAGCCTCTGCCTCCCAGATTCAAGTGATTCTTCTGCCTCCGTGTCCTAAGTAGCTGGGATTGCAGGCACCCACCACCACACCCAGCTAATTTTTTGGTATTTTTTTAGTAAAGACCAGGTTTTACTATGTTGTCCAGGCTGGTCTCGAACTCCTGACCTCAAGTGATCCACCCGCCTCGGCCTCCCAAAGTGCTGGGATTACAGGGGTGAGCCACCGCGCCCAGCCTGTTGTTTGTTTTGAGACAGAGTCTTGCTCTGTTGCCCCAGCTGCAGTGCAGTGGTGTGATCTCTGCTCACTGCAACCTCCACAGCCTGGGTTCAAGCAATTCTCCTGCCTCAGCTTCCCAAGTAGCTGGGATTACAGGTGTGGAATTACAAGTCTTCACTGACTATCTTGGGACAGGGGGAAAAGCTGAGATCCAGAGAGAGCCAGGGATACTTCTGAGATCCTGGTCGGGGACAGTGCCAGGGGGATTGGCAGGGTGCAGAACAGGGGTCCTACCTGTGGGCTTTGCATAAGTCCCTGTTCAGCTCGGCACTCTGAGACCGTCTGGCTCGCCCCTTCTGAGCCATGCGTTCCAGCTCCCCACGCAGAGACTGCAGCTGCTCCCGCAGGTCCGCTGCCCTGATGTAAAGATGGAGAAGAGAGGGAGCTCACAGCGCAGCCGATCCGATTTCCCACCTCTCCTCCCCCCACCTGCCCACAGTATTGTCACATAAACACACCTGTACACAGGTGTGCACCTTAGCTTCTGCTGCATACAACACCCTACCCCTGGGGGCCTCACATAAACTGTGCAACCTCCGCCCCCCTGCCCAGCCGGGGACCCAGGCACATACCTGGTAAGTGACACCGCCAGTTCCTGGGCTAACTTCTCTGGGTCCCACGCTTTGCCCACCTGGCCACCGTCAACGCCACTGGTGCCACCAGGGACAGCAGGAAGGCCCTACCGGAGGGAGAAGACAAGGAAGTGACATGCTTGGCCCACGCTGGACACTGAAGCTGCCTTCTCAGAGTCCCCAGTCTGGTCCCATACCCCAGTAGGAGTGAAATGACCCTCTCATAAGGGAAATATTTAATTAAAAACTATGGCTGGGCCTGGTGGCTCATGCCTGTAATCCCAGCACTTTGGGAGGCTAGGGTAGGATGATCACTTGAGGTTGCGAGTTTGAGACCAGCCTGGCCAACACTGAAGGCCGTAAGCAGAGAACAAACGTTCAGAAGTGGAAAAAAGAAAGGCTGCGAGGAAGAGGCTGGTGCCAAAATCTAGAAGGTGAGGTACAGACCAGGGCTACTGCCGGGGGAGAGGACGGAGAACGGACAGACCTTCGGTGGGAAGGAGGAGACGCACGTTTGAGTCGAAGATGCTGTACCCTTTCGGGCTTATTGGGCTCAATACCCTCAAAGAAAGAAACCCTTTGGCTGCACATGATGGTTCATGCCCGGAAACCCGGCATGTTGGGAGGGTCACTTGAGACCCAGTATTGGAGGCTGTGGTGAGTTATAATCACGCCACTGCACTCCAGCTTGGTGACAGAGCAAGACCCTGACGAGAGAGAGAGAGAGAGAGAGAGAGAGAGAGACAAAGGAAAGAAGGAGGCCGGGCGCGGTGGCTCACGCCTGTAATCCCAGCACTTTGGGAGGCCGAGGCGGGTGGATCATGAGGTCAAGAGATCGAGACCATCCTGGTCAACATGGTGAAACCCCGTCTCTACTAAAAATACAAAAATTAGCTGGGCATGGTGGCGCGTGCCTGTAATCCCAGCTACTCAGGAGGCTGAGGCAGGAGAATTGCCT